GAGACTACTTTAAAAAAAACAATACAAATCTTACTGTTAAATAATCTTTGACTGGTATTGTAGGCTGATTATTCTTATAGATTGAAACAAATGTGCTTCAGCCAGTATAAAGAGTATGAAAAGTGCTCTGAGTTGCTGCAGAAAAAAAAAAAAACAATTGAGCAACAACAAAAACGTGTTGCTGGAGATGGGCTTATTATTGAAAATGCAAACTGCTTGTCTGCCAGCAGGAGGCGCTTTGAGAGTGGCAGAAACAGCGGTTTCCCCAATAATGGCTGTAATCAAAGCAGCTCCACTCATGAACGCTACTTTATCAGATAAAATAAAACTTCGAAACTTTTCTGAAGACGGTTCCCTTCATTCAAATAAAACGCCCGCGCCGCGTTTTGATTTTGAAACGTGCAGTGCTCATGTTTATTCAGTCAAACGCCACAAATAAATCAATGTATGGGATACACTGGTAATGCATATCGAAATATCGGAAATGTGTTTAAAAATCATTTCACCGTTATTTAAAAAAATTATATTGCGATACATATTGATATTGAATTATTGTCCAGCCCTATTAAAGACCATTATACAGTGTGATTGTGCTAGTTAAGATGGATAAAAAAAAAAATATAGAAATATATACAAAAAGAATAGGAAATGAAACTGCTTATTTATTTGAAACCAGAAATGTTTATTAGGAACTGCATGACATTTTCAAAAGTCTGTGCCAGCTGGTGCAGAATTGACGAACATGATACCATGTGTGCTAACTGCTGTTAAACTCATTTCACAAGCATACTAGTGCCCAGGATACACTTGAAACTGCCTTATAATATTGGATTACATTGAACTATTGCATATAATTGAACATAACAGCAAGTCTTTAACAAGCGTGATGCAGATTGCATGCCAGGGGGTGTTGGTTTAACATTGTGTTTTATTTTCCCCCACACCCAAGCTAACCAAAACCACATAAACATGAATTTACGTACATTAAAGGAATAGTTCACCCAAAAATTACATTCTTACCAAAAAAAAAAAAAAACATCTTGCAAACAGCTTTTCACTTCACAAGACATTAATTACTGGACTGGAGTGGTGTGGATTACTTGTGGATTATTTTATTGTTTTCATCAGCTGTTTGGAGTCTCATTCTGACGGCACCCATTCACTGCAGAGCATCCATTGGTGAGCAAGTGATGTAATGCTACATTTCTCCACATCTGTTCTGATGAAAACACAAACTCATCTACATCTTGGATGGCCTGAGGGTGAGTATATGTTCACCAAATTTCCATTTTTGGGTAAACAATTCATTTAATGTATTTCAAAATGTTACTGTTTTTGCTGTACTTTGGATCGAATTAATGCAGGCTTTGTGAGCAGAAGAGACTACTTTAAAAAAAACAATACAAATCTTACTGTTAAATAATCTTTGACTGGTATTGTAGGCTGATTATTCTTATAGATTGAAACAAATGTGCTTCAGCCAGTATAAAGAGTATGAAAAGTGCTCTGAGTTGCTGCAGAAAAAAAAAAAAAAAACAATTGAGCAACAACAAAAACGTGTTGCTGGAGATGGGCTTATTATTGAAAATGCAAACTGCTTGTCTGCCAGCAGGAGGCGCTTTGAGAGTGGCAGAAACAGCGGTTTCCCCAATAATGGCTGTAATCAAAGCAGCTCCACTCATGAACGCTACTTTATCAGATAAAATAAAACTTCGAAACTTTTCTGAAGACGGTTCCCTTCATTCAAATAAAACGCCCGCGCCGCGTTTTGATTTTGAAACGTGCAGTGCTCATGTTTATTCAGTCAAACGCCACAAATAAATCAATGTATGGGATACACTGGTAATGCATATCGAAATATCGGAAATGTGTTTAAAAATCATTTCACCGTTATTTAAAAAAATTATATTGCGATACATATTGATATTGAATTATTGTCCAGCCCTATTAAAGACCATTATACAGTGTGATTGTGCTAGTTAAGATGGATAAAAAAAAAATATATAGAAATATATACAAAAAGAATAGGAAATGAAACTGCTTATTTATTTGAAACCAGAAATGTTTATTAGGAACTGCATGACATTTTCAAAAGTCTGTGCCAGCTGGTGCAGAATTGACGAACATGATACCATGTGTGCTAACTGCTGTTAAACTCATTTCACAAGCATACTAGTGCCCAGGATACACTTGAAACTGCCTTATAATATTGGATTACATTGAACTATTGCATATAATTGAACATAACAGCAAGTCTTTAACAAGCGTGATGCAGATTGCATGCCAGGGGGTGTTGGTTTAACATTGTGTTTTATTTTCCCCCACACCCAAGCTAACCAAAACCACATAAACATGAATTTACGTACATTAAAGGAATAGTTCACCCAAAAATTACATTCTTACCAAAAAAAAAAAAAAACATCTTGCAAACAGCTTTTCACTTCACAAGACATTAATTACTGGACTGGAGTGGTGTGGATTACTTGTGGATTATTTTATTGTTTTCATCAGCTGTTTGGAGTCTCATTCTGACGGCACCCATTCACTGCAGAGCATCCATTGGTGAGCAAGTGATGTAATGCTACATTTCTCCACATCTGTTCTGATGAAAACACAAACTCATCTACATCTTGGATGGCCTGAGGGTGAGTATATGTTCACCAAATTTCCATTTTTGGGTAAACAATTCATTTAATGTAATATTTACATTTACAAAGGTCCTCAGACCTTTTAAAGAGAATTTTAGTCATTAAAGTCATATTTACAATTTGAACAATTTCAGTGCATAATAAGATCTAAAGTCAACAAACATTTATTTTCCTCTTTGATCTGTCATTTCTTGTTGGACAGCACGTGTTCTTTTCTTCACATGTTAGCGTAGGCTGCATCATCTTCCAGGACGTTGTCAGATTAGAATGGTCTCATCACACTACTTAAAAAAAGCAAAATATGTTAGAGACATCTCAAACAATGTAGATTCTATTGATGAAGTATTCTCTTTTAATTATAAATGTTAAGGCACATGCAGTGTTGGTTTTTAGTCACAGTTTTGCACATTAATATCTGCATGCATGAGTCTTCGGTGTGTTGTTAACAGTTTTAACAGCTAGCGATGGTTCCAGGTAGCACTTTTTTTACAGTCCTGTTCTGCACGTACATATTATGTACTTGCTTTAGTATTTACAATAACTGGGTAATAACTAAATACTAACCCTGAACCTATCCCTAAACCTAACCCTAGTCCATGCAATTGCTTTATATTATGCAGTACTTTCTTAGCTTACGCATACGGAACATTTTTTATAAATATAATTGTTTTACTAAGTTCAATCAAAAAACTGTGAGGAAAAAATAAATGTTACATTTGTTTAGAGCATTTTCTATACATATAGAATAACTACAAGTCAAGCTGCAATACCAAACAGGACTACACGGAGATGCCAACAGACCAGTCGCCATAACCTGACTGTATATACAGTAGATATATAATTTGGCGATCTGAAGGCAGCATCACCAGTGAACTGTTCATCTGTCAGAGTGAGTGTTCGTGTCTGTGTTTGGGAATCTTCATAAACACCACTGACCACCACAGCCCTCCCGGAACTCATAGAGCTCGCACTTTGGTGGTGCATTGCCCTATCTCCCTAATGAAGAGACCGCCCCTGCTTGTAAAATAAAGTGCAACCAGGTTCCATCAAGCAATTCTTTTACATGCATAACACAAACAACACATTAAAGTCACACTGAAAATCAACACCTCCAAGAACGTGTAAATAAATGTCTAAAGAACTGATGCGCTGCTCAGAAACCGACTTCTGCGTTACTAATAGCTGTGAAAGTAAAACGTTTTGTCACCGATACAAAGTTGTACTCACCCCCAAGTTGTCATAATCTCTACCTTTCAGGCAGTTTATGTAAATATCTCCATCACTGCCTTTCTCTTTTCTGCTTTTTATAAAATGATAGATAACAAATCATTAGTAAATGTTCTGCTTTGTAGTTATGTATCAAAAATTATATTATACACTACAGTCAAAAGTTTGGAATCATTAAGATGTCCTATTTTATGATATGAGCCTTTTTTACCAAAGCAAAACAATACAGCAAAAAGAGTAATATTCTGAAACATTATTACAATTTAAAGTACAGTTTCAATTACATTTTTATATTTTAATATATTTTGAAATGTAATTTATTCATGCAATGCAAAGCTGAATTTTCAGCATCATTACTCCAGTCTTCTGTGTCTCATGGTCCTTCGGAAATCATTCTAATATGCTGATTTGCTGTTCAAGAATCATTTCTTATTATTATCAATGTTGAAAATTGTTTTTGTGGAAACTGTGATGCGTTGTTTTCAGGATTCTTTGATGAATAGACCGTTTAAAATAATAGCATTCATTTGAAATCTTTTGTAACATTTGGTATGTTTAATGCATCCTTGCTGAAAAAGTATTAATTTCTCTCTCAAAAAAAAAAAGTTAATCCCAAACTTTTGAATGGTAGTGTATCATAGTTTAAACAGAAATATTAAAAATATATATAATGAAGTAAAATAAATAAATAAATAATCTAATATGCAAGTCAGCATATTAGAATGATTTATGAAAGATCATGTGACACTGAAGACTGGAGTAATGATGCCATCACAGGAATAAATTACATTTTAAAATGTATTCAGATAGAAAACATTGATTTTAAAAGAGACTTTAAAAAGAAAAGCTAAACAATATCAATGATTGTAAACAATTTGGACTGGTACTGTATATAAGTTTATACTGTATATACTTTTCTAACTCAGACTTGTTTGGGGTTGTCTTCATTTCAGTCTGTTCATTCTTCCAAATTACAAGTTGTTGTTTAGCTCTGTTCCCACTGAAAAGAAGAGGGATTTTAAAGCTGTCAGGAAACAAAGGAGAAACAAGAAGGAATAACAAGACAAACTGATTGAGTGAGTAATGTGTAGCTTACGAGAGAGATCCTTACCAGCGTTTTCTCACAACATACACTACAATGCAGACTAAAACAACTAAAACAGCTGATGCAACAGCGATGTATTTTATTATGCCTGTGAAAAGAAGCAAACAAATATTGAAATTAATTATTTTCGCAATAAAACAATGATATAGAGTGTTTAAAAAAAAAAGACTGAATATGAAGTCTCACCATTTTGAGGAGCTTCTAAAATTATGGAAGAATTTCCCAGAATGTTATTGGCAAAGCACTGGACAGTCTCAGGGAAACCCAGCCAACCCTGTAGGGTGAATATGGTAAGAGACACATTTTGTTTAATGCTGGTGCTGGAGAAGGTTTTCGAAGAATCTGGACCAAACCACTTGACTTCACTGGGAGGGTTGGAGTCCACGATACAGGCACAGACTGTCAAAATCATAGTCTGGCAAGAAGATTCACTTTTAATTTCAGGAGGATCTAAGATAGATAGATAGATAGGAGTATTAGCTATCATAAATCATAATGATCTTCTTTCACTAACAGTACCGATTGAAATGGTTGAACCGAGGCCTTTCACTCATACTTACACAGTATATTAAGTTTCTGTGAACCAGAACTGTTTTTTCCCTCTGTGTTGATGACTGTACAGGAAATGGCCTCAGTATGTCGAGATACTCTGTCCAGTTTGTAAATGGAGCTCTTTGCTAATGTTGTTCCAGTTGAGCTGAACCACTGGTAGCTGTTTGCAGGAGGGTTGCTGTTACTAGAGCAGGTCAGTTCAACAGAGTCATTCTCCTTCACTGAGGGTTTAGTGAGCACGTTTACATTATATGGAGGATCTGATTGACATGAAATTTTGATACAATGTCAAACATTCAGTTCATTTAATATGTGTTTTTACTAAAAGCAATTTAAGTTAGTACGTAGAAGTTTGTCGTCTGATACCATTGAATAATGTAGTCATACAAGGAACATTTATGCTACTACACTCGACACACCCTAGAAGAACACTTGAATTCCAAAAAGAACCGTTTAGTGAACAGTTCTTAATAGAACCACTTTTTTCTTAGTGTTAGGAACATTTATCTTTAGAAACTTTTCCACTTTAAAGAACCTTATGTCCAATGGAAAGTGTCCAATGATGTTAAAGGTTCTTCATGGAACCATAAATGCCAATGAAGAACCTTTATTTTTAAAGGTTAAAATACTTAAAATACTTTCTCCAAACAATAAAGGGTCAGTCACACAAAAAACTCTACTTACACAGCACATTAATTTTCTGTGGACCAGAACTCTTTTTTCCCAGTGTGTTAATGGCTGTACAGGAAATGGCGCGAGTATGTCGAGATACTCTCTCCAGTTTGTGAGTATGTTTGTTTCCTAACAACATCCCATTTGAGCTGAACCACTGGTAGCTGTTTGCAGGAGGGTTGCTGTCACTGGAGCAGGTCAGTTCAACAGAGTCATTCTCCTTCACTGAGGGTTTAGAGACCACTTTTACATCATATGGAGGATCTGATTGAGATAAAATGTTGATAAAACGCTATTTATTACCTCAACAATGGTCTCACCGGGCTAACCCTGTGCCAAGGATTCATTTCATTTCATAAGACTGTGGTTTTCAACCAGGGGGTCTCTGCAGACGTTGCATATTTTGGCCACAGGATCATTCGAAAGTATTGAAATTAATATATCATTATTAATATTAATATATTACGATAATGGGGGATTTTGAGTCAAAAAGGTTGCAAACCACAGTCCTAAAACTATTAACAGCTAACAAGAAAAGATGTGAATTAGCATCTGATCATTTATTTGTCTTAAACTCACATAGTCGACTTACATTTAACTTTGAGTGTTTTGTAGTCTGTCACTGTCTTCACTTCAAACTCTGCAGAGCAGCTGAGATGTTTATTATGGTCTTCTCTAGAAGGGGTGAAGGTCAGGGTGTAAGATGTAAGCTTCAATTGACTGGGATTTTGCGGCTGTGATAGACTCGAGTGTGTGCCGTCATAGTTCCAGGTGACACGAGGCAGGTCTGATGGGCAGGAATGAGACACGGCACAGGTAGCAGTCACCGGTTTTCCTGATGTCATTTCCTCTTCCACAGAGACGGTAGGAATCTCTGGTGTTTCTGGTGAAGACACACAAATTGTTGATGCAACAGTTTTTCCACCACTTCTCATACCTGACACATTAATTTAAATATTAATTTGGATATTACACAACAAATCATAGTGATTAACCCTCATGTTGTGATTCAGTAATTTTGATCCGGAGAGGATTTTCTTCTTCCAGAAAATTCTAGCTAATGTTATGACGGGCTTCCAAAAAAAAAAAAGATTTATAAATAACTCATTATGCTATATTATTACCAAATTTCTGATTTAATCTTATCAAATTGTGTTCTTAAAGTAAGCACAGGTTTTGTATTTCATTTTTGAACGGACTGATCATAGACCTCATTGTTTCTTCCTAGTTCATACAGTAGAGCATGGCGCTAGCAACACCAAGGTTGTGGGTTTGATTTCTAGGGAATGCATAAACTGAAAAAAAATAAGAAAATATATAGTACTGAATGCAATGTAAGTCTCTTTGGATAACAGCATCTGCCAAATGCATAAATGTAAATTGGGTGTATTGTTTTCGAGTGCATATTGCCAAAATTATTCACAAATAAGGCTGAATTTTTCACTCAAAAACTGCAGATGCACAAGCTAAGTTATAGAAAACATGCTGACAAACGATTTAATCCAACATGCATGAAACCTTTTCATTACACAAAATGTTCTTTGTAGTGGAAAATGTTTTTTTTAGATGATTAAAATGTTCTTCACGCTATGAAAAAAGTGGCTATTTTAGAAGCTTCATATTCATGGGGAACTAAAAAAAATGGTTCTTCTGTGTCATCACTGCGAAAAAATAAAACCCTTTTGAAACCTTTATTTTTAAGAGTGAAGGTAACATTAAAACCTTTTAATTGAACAAATTTCTCTTACCTTTCACTGTTACAGAAGTTTGATTCTGCCCATAGCTGAAATTGTCCAGATCTTTAATCTCAATCCGGAATAGGAATGGTCCAGTGTCACTGCTGCTCAGAGAGCTGATTTTCAAAGAACAGTCGTTTTGGAGCAAATCACCAGTGAGACTAGTGCGACCTTTGAATGTGTCACTGATTTTTGAGGTGTCTGTATGGTATACAATAAATTCATAATATCCTTTATACCAAATCCCTGTAAATTCTGTGTATGTTTTTCCCTTTGCAGGGTAGCTGAAAGTACAGGGAATCACCACACATGATCCAGACAAGCCCACCACTGATTTCGGCATTTCAGCACTCCATTCCACAGCAGTAGGTGACACTGAAAGCAGAATGACTCAAAATTATTTAGTAACCAATTCAATTATTTTATATGTTACAAATGTCAATTTTAATGTTATACCAGTGACATTACATCATAATTAAACATTTTTAATGGATTTCCTTTTGTTTTAGTATGAGCCTAAATTCTTTTCCAAGACACTCATCTTGGTTCACCTAATAGTTTCCTCCTCATAGATGTCAGAAAGTAGACTGTAATTCATTTGTGTGAGGAATGACTCATTATACTTTATTGTTAATACTGCAATGGCCTAAGAGCAGAAAAAAATTGAGAATTAAAGATTTTTTTTGTTTGTGTGTAAAATTCTCTACATGAAAAGACTAAACACTGATTATTTACTACTTAAAACTGTCATACATAACCATTTTATGTAGTTATATTTTACTAACCTCTGAGCCAGAGAAAGAGTGACAGTAAACAGCTCCAGAAAACCATCTCTGCATCAAAGTTCAGCGCCTGGGAATAAATGTTGTCATTATGTACGGCTCTTCAGTTCCCAGTAACCACTTAGTATTGTTTTAGAATGACAACATAGTTTCATTTCTCACTGTATATGGAGCATGTGCAGTGCCGCATTTGCAATAAACTAGTTATTTAATTAGGGATTTAAATAATACATATTTAATAAGGGATTTAAAAAATTTTTAAATAAGTAACTTACTTAATGTTGTGTCCTCAAACGGTGCCTGAGGTCATCAGAAGAAGACTGATGTGCTAAATATCCGAGAGCTTCCTTCCCCCTATATCTGGCTGAGCGTGATGCTTGTCATAATTTGGTCACTTCCAGGGTGGCGCTAGGGGTGGGCTAAGCGAAAGGCCCGAATGTATTTTTTATTACCGTGTAAACCAGCACTTAAACAGCAAAATGCTGCTGCTTCAGGTATTTGTAACTTACTGTAGGCTATAACTTCATAGTACTGATCTCAACACCTGTCAAAATTAGATTGTTACGGTATAGCAACAAATATTGACTTTTTAATCATGTTATTATATGCACAGACTTTCTAGGACACACGCACGTATTTAGAGCGATTATATGAACAGATTGTTTAGCATTTAGAAATGGTCTGTGGCAGACTTTCTGCCAAAGCGATCGTTCTGTGCAACGCCGATGCATCTCGAACAAGCCTAATATTTGAACGCACCAAAACAAACATGCACATACCCCAACAGGACCTCGCCCCTATTTTGATAACTCCGCCCCAACTGAAAGCAGAATGACTCAAAATTATTTAGTAACCAATTCAATTATTTTATATGTTACAAATGTCAATTTTAATGTTATACCAGTGACATTACATCATAATTAAACATTTTTAATGGATTTCCTTTTGTTTTAGTATGAGCCTAAATTCTTTTCCAAGACACTCATCTTGGTTCACCTAATAGTTTCCTCCTCATAGATGTCAGAAAGTAGACTGTAATTCATTTGTGTGAGGAATGACTCATTATACTTTATTGTTAATACTGCAATGGCCTAAGAGCAGAAAAAAATTGAGAATTAAAGATTTTTTTTGTTTGTGTGTAAAATTCTCTACATGAAAAGACTAAACACTGATTATTTACTACTTAAAACTGTCATACATAACCATTTTATGTAGTTATATTTTACTAACCTCTGAGCCAGAGAAAGAGTGACAGTAAACAGCTCCAGAAAACCATCTCTGCATCAAAGTTCAGCGCCTGGGAATAAATGTTGTCATTATGTACGGCTCTTCAGTTCCCAGTAACCACTTAGTATTGTTTTAGAATGACAACATAGTTTCATTTCTCACTGTATATGGAGCATGTGCAGTGCCGCATTTGCAATAAACTAGTTATTTAATTAGGGATTTAAATAATACATATTTAATAAGGGATTTAAAAAATTTTTAAATAAGTAACTTACTTAATGTTGTGTCCTCAAACGGTGCCTGAGGTCATCAGAAGAAGACTGATGTGCTAAATATCCGAGAGCTTCCTTCCCCCTATATCTGGCTGAGCGTGATGCTTGTCATAATTTGGTCACTTCCAGGGTGGCGCTAGGGGTGGGCTAAGCGAAAGGCCCGAATGTATTTTTTATTACCGTGTAAACCAGCACTTAAACAGCAAAATGCTGCTGCTTCAGGTATTTGTAACTTACTGTAGGCTATAACTTCATAGTACTGATCTCAACACCTGTCAAAATTAGATTGTTACGGTATAGCAACAAATATTGACTTTTTAATCATGTTATTATATGCACAGACTTTCTAGGACACACGCACGTATTTAGAGCGATTATATGAACAGATTGTTTAGCATTTAGAAATGGTCTGTGGCAGACTTTCTGCCAAAGCGATCGTTCTGCGCAACGCCGATGCATCTCGAACAAGCCTAATATTTGAACGCACCAAAACAAACATGCACATACCCCAACAGGACCTCGCCCCTATTTTGATAACTCCGCCCCAAACGTACGTACACAACCTTGGCAGCGACGATAGTGGATCTGCCATGCCTGCCGGCCGCAGCATATTCAAGCAAAAGCCAACATGGAAAAGTGTTGCAAAATTTACGTAACTCACCTATCGAGAAGAAACAAAGCAACATCGGCGTCCGATTCCCTTCCGCTCCTTTATTTCTCTCCACCGCTGAAAAGCTGATCCTATATTTATGCAGTCTTATCTCTTGCCTGATTGTAGCTTTTTTAATGCTCCGAAATGTTCCTCTTTTTTATCTGCCATCTCTCGCTATCTAGTCCATCTGATCATATCCATCCTGTGCACTCACTGAGCACTCTCTTCTCCCTATCATTACTAGACACGCCCCTTACTGCTGATTGGCTGCGAGTTTGTTTTGGGACTCGGTCTGACACAGTGGTCAAAAGTGTTTTTTCGAAAATCGCTTAGTGCACCTTTAATAAAACTTCCTTCCTGAATGAATCAGCCGTTTTGAAGAAATCGATTGAATAAATGACTCAACGATTCATTCGTTCCAGTCATTAAGACAGTGGCTTGCTGCCACCTACTGGCAATTTTAGTCTCATTTTTAAAAGTATTCTATTTTTCTATCATTTCATATTTCTGTGTTCTAAATTTTATATTTAAAACATAATCTCATAACATTATTTAAGCAATTTGTAAGTGAATGCATGCAGGATGTGTATGTGTGTATGTATGTGTAGGCTAGAGCCCTGCGTGTTTAAATATACGTGTCTCTTTGCCAATGTAACTTTTAAACATATTTTATTTGAAGTGCATCCCGTGTATTCTGACACATACATGGATGTCTCTGGGCTAAGCCCTGGGTATCCACTCACCCTAGAACCACCCCTGGTCACTTTCTATTTCAAAGGATTCTGAGAGACTGGCTGTACACATTCAGCATAAAAGTGTCCTGAAATGTACATGTTAATAAAATGTTAATTCTATATAAGAAGTTCACTTAAACTTTTTTTTTTGAGTGAATGTGTTCGCTAAATGTAGTAAAAAGTAATCATACGTGAATGAATGGATTACATTTAAAGTAATTGCTATCATAATCATGAGGCATTGTGGGTGAGTGCCAAGATTTTGCTATATGGTTGCTTAGGTGGACCTAATGGTTTTAACTACATTGCTATGGGGTTGCTAAGGTGTTTTGGGTTGTTGCTAGGTGTTTTATAGTTATGGTGTTTTATAGTAACACCATTAAACAAACACATCAAGTGTAGCCTGTTCTGAGGCTAAAACTGTGATTATGTATTTGAGAGAACACAGTCAAATCCAATGTGTGTCTGTGTTTTTTTTTTTTTGGCAATATGCATCACTAATGGTGTGACTGTGACCAGTATAGGCTTGAACTTAACCTCTATGTCTTCATTTTAACATGATGTGGACTAAAAAATTATATATTGTATATATCTTCTCTGTATGCCATCATGTGTGGTTGGTTAAACACCTGGGCTGTTAAAACAAACTTTGTGAGGTTCAGCTGTAACTGAAGAGCTACTTTGACCTTCGTCTGTCAACAACTCTACTATCTCTGCTGTTTGAGGTACTGTAAAAAATTTAATTATGAAATGGAGCCTGCAGTATTTAATGTTCCTTTGTTCTTAAGATTTGCTTTCTCCAGTGGCCATAAAATGTATTTGCAACACTTAAAAAGACTGAATTTGGTATGTATTAGAGATATCAAACAGAATATCAAACAAATTCATTTAATAAAAAAAAAGCTACATGCAAAACATTGCACATCCACCAAAATCACTTTGGCATCAGGAAAGAGAAGCTAGTTCTGAGAAAAGTTCTTCTATCATTTGATGCATCGTTTGCTATCTAATGCAATTCTTACCACATCTTTGAGAATTTAAGCTACATTTTAAATCACAGTAGTATTGGATGTTTTTTTTTTTTTAAGATGGTTATTCTTCAGATACAAAAATGCATATTTTTAATGCTGGTTTGGAAGATGGTTTTAATGCATGGTTTGCAGAAATTCAATTAATCCGAATTAATTGCTTCTACTGACAACGACAAAGGGAAAGTTCTGTTTTAAAGACAAACAGAAACTGCTCAGAAATTATTTAAATGCTTAAATGGAACACATATTTCCAAAAATATTTACAAATCGCACACCCATCTAAATCTTTTAAGAGTTTTCACGAGGTCCTTACATTTCCATTAGGGGTCATTATATTCACTGTAAACTGAATTAGGTCTGTCAGCTTTGTGGATTGTTCTCGTCTACAAAGACAAGGTTGCACATTTCCCAGCTCTGCCTTGAAAACTGTTCCTGGTTAGACTGTGCTGATGATAGATGGCAGTAACGGATGTGATAGCTTCTTGGAAGATTTAATTTTGCCAAACTGTAGTCTTTCGTAGACAGTACTTTTGAATGTTTGTCTTTCCGCAGGGCATCCGCAAAACAAACCTCATCCTCTGGGTCATGCTTAGTGAGCTTTTTATTTCTCCTCCTAATATTTTGTCTTGAGTCCTGGTTCATCAGAGGCCTTGATTTTCCATTGCCCATGACATATTGTGAAATGTGATGTTCTGAGAAAAAAAAGGAACACAATAAAAGGATTAAAAAGTTAATTTAAGTTCATTGCACAGTGATTATAAAACATGAACATGCATACATGCAAAAGTGAAAAAGTAAAAGTGACTTTACCTGAGTTGATTATGAATTGATGTCTCATTTGGTTTGCAGTCGGTTTTGGATTTAAATAGTGTTGAGTAGGCTAACTCTGTTTATTCTTTACTTTCAGTTTCAGCTCTCAGTGAGGGATTTGAACAGCTTTGTGTTAGATTAGATGTTTCTGCTCTTTGACAGAATTGTGGAAATTAAATAAAGAATAGGATTACGGAGCACAATGGATCTTCTGATCCTTTACATCAATTGGTCAGTGAAGAAGCATTATCCTCATAACCATTGATAGTAACTTTGAACTGGCATTGATTTAATAAGCTCTGTCTAAACATTGACTGGCTGATGTGATTGCATTTGAGTTTTCAGAGATTGTCTTATTCAACAATTTCATGGTGTCTACTAACCTCAACTGGAACTGATGAACCCCCACCCCCCTCCTCCCCCAAATAGATATGAGTAATGATATATGCATTTTAAGGTAAGTTTTCACTTTTGCTAAACAACATTAACATTTTTACGCAAACAACCTTACAGCCACTCTCCAGATGTGTTTAGGTCATATTTTCTGACACGGTTTGATTCAATTAAAGACGTTAATTGATGGATTGGAGTCCATTACTTGTGGATTATTTTGGGTGGTTTTATGACTTGTTTGAACTCTCTTTCTGATGGCACCCATTCACTGCAGACAATTTCCAAATCTGTTCCGATGAAGAAAGAAAGTCATCTATATCTTGAATGGCCTAAGGGTGAGTACATTTTCAGCACATTTACATTACAAATGTAAGTTTTAATGTTATAAAGGGGACATTTTCTAACTGATTTCCTTTTGTTTTAGTATGGGTCTAAATTATTTTCCAAGACACTCATCTTGGTTCACCTAATAGGTTTTCACATGACAGGAAGTACACTGTAATTCCTTTGTGTTAGGACTGACTCATTTTACTTTATTTTTAATACTTTATGGCCTAAGATCTGAGAAAATTAACTGAAAATTAAATGCTTTTATTGTATAAAATTCACTAAAATGTACAACTTAATTTACAACTTAAAACAGCGGTCATGCAAAAATAACTAATTTCTCGTTTCATTTTACTAACCTCTGAGCCAGAGAAAAACAGACATTAAACAGCTCCAGAAAACCATCTCTGCATCAAAGTTCAGCACCTGGGAATATATGTTGTCATCATTTATGGCACTTCAGTTGCTACTACAATTACTAATAAGCATTGAGTATTGTTTCAGAATCCCATTGTTTTCATTTTTGAACATTGTTTAATTTAATTTCTCACTGTTTATAGAGCACAGTGCAACAAGTGCAATCCATTAGTTACTTATTAAGGGATTTAAATAGCCACTGTGTAGATAAAATGTTAAATATTGTCACTTAATGCTGTATCCTCAAACAATGCCTGAGTTCATCAGAAGAAGACTGATGCTCTGAATGTTTGAGAGCTTCCTTCCCCTTGTATCTTGCTGAACGTGATGTGATCATTTGTGCACTTCCTATTTCAAAGGCTTCTGAAAGACTGGCTGTACACATTCAACATAAAAGTGTCCTGAAGGGTTAAATTAATTATATATTAATACAATTAATTAATCAAATATATACAAGAAGTGTAGTATCATATTAAACGTAGCTTTGCATATATTGTATAATAAATATAAAACATATATAACTTAAAATTGAAATAGCACTGTTCAGTGATCCAGTGGTTCTTGCTTTTTGCACAAAAATGTAAACTATGTCTACTTAGGCCTTACAACGTTAGCACTGCAAATCAGTGGATTCATTTGAGAAAACTGAACCTCTATGCAAGTACACCTACAAGGCTGCACAAAATCATAATGCTTAATGTAATCAACTTAAGTTTTTTGAGTGAGTATATGTGTATGTATATACGTATGTAGTATAATATATATTCTGCTCAATCAAATGAAAATTAGATATACTGTACATGGATGGATTACATTTACAAACAAATGGCCAGTATTTTTATCAAATTAAACTTTATGAACTTTTCCGATCTGATCCGGATTCACAGCAGTAGGTAATGTGTCAAGAAGCCCAGATCGATACAGAACTGCATGATTTAGCAGCTGTAACTGTCCGGGCTGGATGGTGCAAAAATACTTGAAGGTTCTGTCCTCAATTTAATCTTAATTAAACTTTATGAAGGAAATGTCAGTGGGGGCTTATATGTATGTAAATCACCACCCTGATACTATGGAATTCCCAGGGTTTTTTGCATGAATTTGAATGAAAGTATATTTTCAACTCATATGTAAAATATATTTTCCACAGCTGCAACTATATCCTGTTCAGACTTCACACAGGAAGCCAGTGATGGGCTTCAGCTTTTCATTGTGCTATCTTATTAAAAAATACTGCCTAAAACACTAGAACAGAACTAACATTCATACTGATCAATAAATTTATTTTTAAATTTCTACAGTATATATCATTTAACTTTACTTAGAAACATTCCTGCTGTTGTTCACTGTGTGTGTGTATTTTGTTCCCAGTATTCACCACTATGTGGACTGTATGTGGCATGAACTTGACCTCTGTCTCCATTTGAACAGGATGTTAAGTGATGACAACTTTAACAAATGGCATGCACAGTGAACTGCGTAATCTGTATGTTGCTTGTTCTCAGTGCTGAACATCATGTATGTCATGTCGTCATATCTGCGTCAAGACGCAAACGCGCTACCATCAAGTTTTTCTTATGACAATTAAGTTTATGCAAGCATCGTGAAAGTGAGTTAATGGTACGTTAAACTGTAAATCCGTCAGTCTTTCAATTTCCTTCAGTGCCCACTGGCAGAGCATGCAGGTACTTTATCAATTCATATGGCATGCTATTTTGGGTTAAATAATGTCCTAAATATTTCTAGATATATAAAGTTAAGTTTTAATGGAGAAATATGTCTGAATCTATCTGTATTATCTTTTCACATTATAAATAATAAATTATTAGTAAGATAAATTCTTAACACATGCTATTTTATTCTAATTCTAATGTAGTACACTGTTCATAACTCATGTTACTCATTAAAATAATACAAATGTATTTAATAATCAGATTAAATAAATACTTAAATTGTTTCAGGCCTCCATGTGAATATTGCAAAATGTTTCATTTAACTGACCCTAGAATGAAGTATGTAAAAAAAATAATAATAATAAGTTTACGATTTGACACCCATATTATAGACAGTTGTCAGCATACTCAAAATTAGGGGTAATCACAATTATTTTACCATATTTACAGTCCTAATTAAATGACTGAAATAAGTGTTTTTATCCTTTTTCAATAGAATTGGCCCAGACTTCTGCAGTGTCAAGTGAAGGAAGCGCCTCTCATGAGATTGCAAACTGGGAGTCTGATGACACTGAGTGAGAGTGATGGAAGCCCTTCAAGAAAGGAGCAGAATGCTGAAGATGACACCAGAAATGTGAGTCTGTGTCATTTATATGTTATTCTATGTGCAGTACAAATTTAAAACGAATGAATATGAAAAATTAAGTAGTTAACGCAAGCGCCGGAAGTGATCTCTCGCGCGTATACGTCATGCATTGTTTACACAGTACACAGTCATTGTAGGTACGACGGCTAATCAAAATGGTACTTACTTGCGCTTATCCGGATTGTTCAAACCGACTTAAAACTAAAAGATTACGTTCTCTCACGCGAACTCATTCGGGAGTGGTGACTTTCCACGTATTCCCAACTTCTGAACGCCTGAAGTTATGGTTGATTGCTCTTCGGCTGGATATCAACACACCCATTAATGTAAACTACGCCAGAGCGCATACACACCTCACGCACCGGATGCCGTGCGCGTGCCCAAAGACAGTTGGACATAGTGGTGTATTAGAGGTAAAACATTATATAAATACTGTTCGGTTTCTGGCACAAACCGATTGTTTCGTGTCTTAGGACATCAATGTGTCGTCACGAGCCGCAGGGTTTAATTTGGATTTGTCTGTGCATGTTTTTTTTACTCTCATAGATTTTGTTACCATTGCCATGCATTATACGATTGATAGACTGCAACTGTTGGACTTAAAAATCATCATATGTGTTCTACTGAAGAAATAAAGTCACCTACATCTTGGATGCCCTGGGGGTAAGCAGATAAACATCAAATTAATTTTTTTGGGTGAACTATCCCTTTAAGTAGAAATTTTCAGTACTCTTTCCACTACTGCAAGCAAGTTACTTTTATTTTAAAGAAAACTATATGCAAGAAAAAAGATAAATCATATTGGCATCAGATACATGGTTTGATACCCAGTGCAATTCATAACTTTTTATGAGTGGTTACTGCATCTTTTTAAGATCATATTTCTTCAGAGTAGTGTCCCTGGTCTGTTTGTTCCCTCCCCACGCACACACACACACCTACCTACCTTGCACTCCCTCTTTGTGCAGTCTCAGTGATGACTATGGACTATTACATGCTCTACTTACCTCCAGTGATGGTTTTCATGTGTGCCTCCCTTATGTTTCCTTGTTCGTCTGCTTCCCTGGATTCCCCTTTACGAGTTCAAGATTAAGTTTGAGGATGATTCTCACAAACTATATTTTCTGCAAGCTAAATTAAAGTTCACAATTTATGTATACCGTGTCACAGCAAAAACTGTGAGGGGGAACGTCTCGGTTACGTATGTAACCCTCGTTCCCTGAA